GGGGGGGGGGTTGGCTCTAGGGCCGGCATTGGGGGAGTGAAATGTCTGGGGAACGCCATGGAATTGTCAATGGGGGATTGAACTCTCTCGGCACACTATGAAGCAGTCATGTTGTTTACTGGGGGAGTCACATGTCTCGGCACTCCAATGAAGGCCAGTTGTTCATTGGGGGCGTGTCATCTCTCGGCACACTTTGAAAGTCCAGCTGTTCATTGGGGGAGTAACATCTCGGCACGGCACTCAATGAAATCGATGAAATTGTCAAGTTCTTTAGGGGAGGGGAGGAATGAAATCTCTCGCCCCTCAATGAAGTAGTCAAGTTGTTCACTGGGGGAGTGAAATCTCTCGCCACTCAATGGAAGTGTCAAGTTGTTTACGGGTGGAGGAAGACGTATCGGTGCTCAATGGAATACCGCATGATAGACAAGACACCACAACCCCCGTATGGGTTATCAAAGCTCAACTACCCCCACGAATACGCGAATGAAAACTCAATTGATGCGTCTTCGGCAAGAGCTTGACGAGGTGGTGTTTACCACGCGGCCACTTTCGGGCCCGCCACTCTTTCTACTGTGGAGTATTCGAGCATTGAAAATCAGTTCAGGTGGTGTGATATCTTGTGTCATGCCACCCTCGGTACAGTAGTCAAGTGGTTGCGTGTGCAGAATTGTACTGCGAACAGTGCGGCTGGACGCTTTCGGGTGGGAAGAATGGGCCTGGATCTTTCCGATTGAGGGCCCACGACTGCGTTGGGAGAGTGAACAATCTGCCTCCCTCTCTGTGTACCTCTTTCCGAAACAAATCAGCATGCGAAAGAAGTGGCGAATGAACGCGAACAGGCGTGCGACCGATCGGTTGTAGACGCTTAACAAGCTGTCCCTCAATTCATTTTTGTTTTTGTCAGTATTGTTGCGTATGACCCGTGGAGTGTGCGTGGTAGGATGGTGTGCTGCTGCTGAGTGTCGGTGTGCGTCACCCCTCCCCCCCCCCCCCCNNNNCCCCCCCCCCCCCCCCCCCTTGCCTCCACGCGCTCGTCCCCCTTGTGTCACACGCGCCACTATGTACAGTAGGATCATTGAGGTCCCTGTGAAATGCCGGTATGTGCCCTGAAAATTCCCCGGAACTATTACAGTACAGGGATATATTTGTCGTGGTATTGGAGTGGACACTTCTGCCCGGAGATTTGGCCGGTACTATTCAGGGCACGGGCACTATTCAACCGGCACTAAACAGGGACCTCTACTGTTCGCCGCGCTTCTCGTTCAGGTTGAAGGCGTGCTTTATGTTGGTTACGGCACCCCGTACGCCCACTTGGCGGACGTGACGGTGGACGCCTTGAGGTCAGGAAGACGGGATACGGCTTGGTTGGCGCTCTCTCGCGCGCGGCGTTTGGTCTTTTGCTGGAATGTGGTGGCCTTTTTGGTTCCGTTGGGCTCGGGTGTTACTGACGATGCTGGAGGCGTTTTTGTTTGTTGTTTTGGTGGTGGTAATGCGACTCTTTCATTGCGCCAAAGCAGTTGTCAACGGCGAAATATAACCCGCTAGGTCTTGCCTCGATGGGGGGCAACGTTAGAAGGCACTGCTCAACCAATGAAACGTCCACTCTACTAGCGCGACCAACGTGCATGCGACCGGTACAGGGTCGAGCTCATGTGCCCTAATGTTGTTGTTGGTAAGGGCACCCCGGCAAGACCCCCATGCGATGCTTTGGCATGGGTTTCTCCATCTAATGTGTCTACCATGCCATCCTCTCCCATCCTCCTATTCCTGCCGTTTCTGCTGGTTTGTCTCTCGCTCTCGTGTGCCCTTGCTGTCTGTGTTGACGGACCAGAGTAATGGACCTCACCAGCGGCAGCACGCAAGAGCTCGTCAGCTCCGTCACCGGCTTTGCACACGCCTCGTGAGTTTGTTGTTGTTGTTGTTGTTGTCGTTGTTTTTGTCTTCACATTAAAAACCGTTCCGATCTCTCTCTACCCAGTACCTTCGTATGTCCGTACTGATCCAATACTCGACGCGGTCGATTCCCGTGGTCGCAGGCTATCTTACCCTAACAAAGTACACTTGAGTGCTCCCCATTGAACTTTGAAGTATTGCGTTTTTTGCCCCAAGACCGTTTTTTTTGCCTGGGGAGTGTGTTGGGCACAGCGATGCTAGTCCGGATGATCGGAGGTACTTACCTACCTACCTACCTACCTACCTACCTACAGCGAGCGTTCGACGCCCACGTCTGCGCGTTTGCTCCGGCTCGCATGGAGGGCCAGGTGATTTCCGATTTTGGTACTCATTTGCGGCATGATCACATGTCTCGCGTTACGTGAAAAGAGGGAGTCGTCCTGGTCTAGACGTTGGGGAGATTTAATGCATGTCGCTGATGAGGGGGATTTCCACAGTCACCGCCTTTCTTTCGCGAACAACAGGCATGGTACAGATCGATTGCCTTCTGTCCTTGTGTTGCACACATGACGCACCATACACCCTTTGAAGGTAAAGTTCTCAACACTACGCTGTTCTCTCATCTCTCGCGTTCGCGCACCACGTCCATCGCCTTGCATTATCGCGAGCCGCACTGCTGTGTGAGTTTGTTTTTTAGTGTCTTACATGACATGAAAAAAAAATACTCTGTATCCGCATAAAAAATTAAATCCGCAGTAAATACTCAATGATACAAGTAGCAATCGATCCATGATTGTATTTGACTCACCTGTGTGTCTTCTGCTGTGCGCGTGTTTTTTTTTCTTCTCATCATCATAGTTCGCCCTTCTGTGTGACCACCACACGGATGGGAGCCACCTTACCCGCCAGCAATACTGTGAGATGTGAGCGCTGATGTCAACCGATGGTTTTACGAAAAAATATTCCGCGTATCTGTGCCCTTTCGTGCGACGACCCAACGCCTGACGGGCCGGGCCAGGCGTATAAACCGCATCATGGTGGTGAAGGTCGGGGCGGACCCTAGGGTGTACGCCGGGGACGAGGAGGGACGAATAACCGCGTGGGCACGACCAAGCCCAGGGGTGAGTTGAGTAGAGTCTAGCTTCTTCTTTTGCACTTCTTTTTATTCGATCGCCTTCGATTGCCTCGTTCCTTCTCTCTGGCTCGAGGGTTGTGCTTTGGTGTGGTGTGCGGCCCACATTTACGGAATGGTCGAGGGTTTGAGATGGTTACGAGTCTATTATTCGTACGAGAAGTTGGAGCTGAACACTGGTGTCCAATCGTCAATTCGGTGAACTTTGTTACTCATGTACTTTTGACTTGTTGATTGATTCGGCACCGGCTGTAATGGTGGGTGTCACGCATCCAGGCATTGGACCAGCAACCGCACGGGCTCAACAAACCTCATAGGCACAGGTTGTTTCTACAAGAGGTACTGTAGTTGTATTTTTTCTTGTTTTGCTTTCTTTCTCGACATATCATGCACCACCCCTTTTCGTTGCTTGTCCGAAATATGCACTAGCTCATTCCATGCTGCTGTTCGACAAGGACTACAATGGCCTTGAGCTTTCTCCATGTTTTTTGGTAGGGGTAGGGTAGTGAAGTCTTCTTTTGTTTTTTTGCACAGCACGCACCACAAAAATTGCTGTCTCGTGTGTGCGACTTTGACTGATTGTTGTCACTCAGGCGCCCTTCGCCCAGCTGGCCCAGCTCGAAGGGCACGCGAGAGCGATCACTTCCCTGGTGTCGACGGCGAGCAACGGCATGCTCTGGTCGTCCTCGGAGGATGGTACGATCAGGATCTGGAACACCGGCACGAACGTATGCGAGCACACCATCACAAGTGAGATAATAAAGAGCCGTCGGAGATGAGCTTTTGGGGTGGCACTACACTGACAAGCGAGAATGGGTTATGCGGTAGCAGCGGGGGGGGGNTGCCGTAGTCGTTAGACCATTGACCTCGCATCCCTACAAAGCCGGGACGGAGCACGCCGGGTTCTCACCGGACCAGGCTCTCACATCACCAAGCGCGAAGCGCCGTGAGGTACTCAGCGAGTCGCATGAACGGTGCGCTGCATCCTGCAAAGGGTGTTCGGCATCTTGTGCATACTTCATTGCATAC